CAAAACAGGTCACCTTTTCCATACCACAAGTTAATATGCAATTATGACATATGTTTTCTTTCAATTTACATAAATATTTCCACTGAGTGGTAAAAGAAGCTTCTGTCATCAGTGGATTTCTGTCTCTGACAAAAAGCAGTGCAAACCAATCTATGGTACCAAACTTCTTAAGTAACACACTTCTGTATTTGCAGATAAATACCTTTGGAAATAGTGTATTAGGACATCTGTCTGACAGCCCTTCTCTGATAGTTTCTACATTTTTTTTTTGTTTAATTTAGGAGTCTTTATCATCCTATTTTTTTTTCATTTCAAAAAATGTAATGATAGGACTTATTTGTGATTTTCCACTACAGCTGAAAGGGGAAAAAATGAATGCTAAAAATCAACAAAACACTTTATAGGATAGAAGTGATTAAAGCAAATTTAATTGCCTTTTTAAAAATACCCACTGGCACATAATATATATTAAATACATAGTCCCTACAATTTAAAAGTAGCATAATTATGAAAGTAATACTAAAACTGTAGCAGCAGTCTTTAGCTAGAAGTAAATCAGACTTTTTCAGAAGGCTTCCAATTTCTTGGGAGTACTTAGAACTAGACCCAACCCTGCATGACAGATTTACTGCTTTTGTGTTGATGAGAAACAAATGAAGCCCTCCCAGAAAATTCCCACGGATAAAAGCACACATCTGAACACAGGCTGAGTTAATTAATATGACAGGGAAATCACTTCTTGAATCAGAGTATACCCTCCTTATTATTTGTAATGGTACTAATGATTAGTAATGAAACAAATGCTTTCATTGCTACTATTTCAAAGCGAAAAATTGTGTGTTTCAAAACTTGCAAACACTGAGTTTGGAGACCTTCCTAGAGACCTTGTTACTTTTTCCATCTATGAAACAGATGTGCTCAAAGCACATGCAAACATTTACGGACCCAGATTTTTCATCAGACAAAGAAGTGTAAATTGTAGTTAATTACTATCTCAGGAATGTGATATTCAACTGCTTCCACTTCTAGCAATCACAAACTGAGCCAAAGTCACCTTCATTTCGGCCTTTGAATTTTTAATTAACGTAAATTACTTTTGTTGTGAAGTTAGGAAAAGCTAATTCCAAATTAAATGATATTATCTTTTCACTCCAACATGCTTTAAATATTTTTTTTTTCTGGACTAGATGGCCACATTTCTTTTTTATTAAAACTAACAACTCACTGGAACTTGATGACAGTCACCACTTTAAGCATTGCCTTTATGTTCTGAACAACAGGAATCTACCCAAAGGCTCTCTAAGAACATGCATTCATTTACATTCTATATTATTCATCCTCTTTAATAAAACAGAAGGGAAAATGGGGGAAATTCAGCGTTTGCAGGTGATCAAGATTTGGGGTTTTTTTTAAGGCATTGTTGAACTTGGGCAGAGTAAATGCTTTGATATCTAGGAGGAAATGTTCTCAGTCCAGCTTGTATTCCGGAACAGAAAATTTTCCTTTAGAACTTATTGTTGGAGTGATTCAGTAGTTTGGCACTGGTTGCAGTTTTTGATTTTAACTACTGTTTGATTTGCCATTAAAGAATGTCTGATGCTTCCAGTGTCTCTAAGGCAGATAAATACCTACATTCCATAAAAACACCATGTCACATTATCCAAACCTGTGAGCAGCATCACAAGCATGACTGACAATGGACATGTACAGACATCAAAACTAATTTCAAAACCTTCAATGATCAGGCAAAGCAGTTTCCTGGCACAGTTTGGTGCACAAACCTTTTCACAGGACCAAGGAGAAAAGCATCAAGGTGGGAATAAGCCAGGTGGGAGCCACTGAAATTAGCATTCCCACACTGAGAAAATCCTATCAATCTATAGCCTGAGATAGAACAAAGTTAAGTGATGCTCCAGAGGCAACAGAAACTATCTGCAAGGGTGAAAAACCCTTCAGGTGGTGTTTTGCCTCTCCATCCATTCCAGGTCACCACATCCTTGCATCCATAAAAGCCATGATGAGCCCGACAATCCCATGGATGCTTGGACACGTACACTTGACTTTACGGCTCTTTTTGTACACAAGCTCTCTATATTGTAAGTTATGGATCCGCCCTGCAATACTGCTGTGTTGCTAATAAACATCAGGGACTGAGGACTTTGACTACAAAGGAAACTGTATTTTGATGCAGTTTTTAAGTCAGCTGCCAAAAACATGCTAAAAACTATTAACAAGCAAAAGTTGATTCATGCATGATGATAAAAAAGATTTTTCATGTATTTATATATAGATACTGAAGAATCAAACTGAACTACAAGAAGATGAAGGGCAGATTTTGTATACTCAGCTGGTTAAATGGTGTAGTCCAGCCTGAGAGGAGCCAAAACTTAACTAAAACCAAAATATGTGACCACACCGCACATGGACCAGTTGTGAGCACGAAAGGAATATGTCATGTTATTAAAATGTGATGGACAGGCTCCAAGGCAGCTTTGTGCAGTTGATGTTAGATTCATCACATTATGTAAACCACATTTATAAACACTGCTAGAAAATGAAAAAGTACTTAGTTTGCTTTAGAATAACAAATGTATACAAGAGTGGCTTAAAACAGATTGTAATGGAAGCATCAGCCACATATGGCAGTGTATGTTTGCTCTCTCAGACATATCAAATATTACAAAATATAGTAATTTTCAAGAAAGAAATCAAAGGTAGCAGTTTATATCACTGATGAGATTATTTCAAATATAAAACACCATCCAAATTATTTTTCATCTGCGTATTTCACCATAGTAAGAACGTATCCTGAACCACATATGTGTTGGATATACTTCTTTTCTTTGCTCAAAAATCAATCTCCATTACTCATAAACATTACATAAATATTTTAAGGGAAGACAGAATTCTAATTTTCAACCAATTGTCTTGGTGGAAACAGAAACCACTGAAAAGTTCTGAGCAAACAGACCTTATATAATCTATTAGTTATTTAAACACAATCTTTCTCTGGAAAATACACCAACATTTGCTTGCAAAGAAAATACTTTCAGACTACCATTTGAGAGTATCTCTCTTCATTAAGCTGCCACCATCATGAATTATAAACCTGAGACATTAAAAATGTGCTGCAAATGTTTAAAAGAACAGGCTCATAAAGTAGTTTGAGAACCACTGGTAAGTTTTAAGTACTGCTGTCAAGAGTAATATCTGAAGTTCAGAACTTCAGGTCAAGAGACCTGAGAAGGTGATTTCTGAGCATTTTATCCTAGACTGCAATTATACTGACATGAAAATACTGGATCCACATCTTGAGATATTAAACAGTTGCATTACAAGAACAGCATGTGAGCTATATTTATTTATGCCCCACTGATACTATATACTGGGCAAAATTGATGGATAATCCACTTTAAGGTAAGATTCTTATATTTTTTCCAGATACTACCACTTTGTGTGTCACCTTCATTATGTAATTGGCTATGACAAACTTTATACACATAGGAATGTGTTCCTACCACCAGAATAAACTAAAAAGAGAAAATAATATGAAAAACCCCGAGTATTCATCCAAAATTGAGACGTTACTAAACCTCAAGAATAGTTTGCTGCAAAACCAGGGTGAGCTGAAACTGCTGATTCAAGTCTTTGCTACTGAACAACGTGAAAAAATAAACCAGTACATTTATATCACAACCCCCAGGCTCTGCTCTCTTCTGTTAAACAGCCAAGAAAGTGTTGGAGGGTTTTTTAAAACAGCAATTTAATACTAATTTCCTCAAGTAAACCCATCCAAACCAAGCTATTCAAAACACAGGGGAGTGTTTGCTTAGGAAGCTTTGGTTTCTACAAGCAGGCAAGAGAATGCAGATATATGCAATTTGAGATTTCAAAAAAGCCTAAGATCATCCTTCAGATTTTTCTGTGGGAATGTGATTGCTTTTGAAACTGTAATTTTATTCCTTGGGAAAAGTGATAGGGAGACTCTTTATCATCATTCATCTGTGCTACTGGAACTGAAACACATCAAAAGCAATGCTGCAGGTAACACAAGTCTTGTCTTGGTTAATATCACAGCACTGAAGTTTTAATTTTTGGCACAGAATGCTTTTGTTCCTTAAGAAAGTAATAGCAGACAAAACTATTATATAGTTGCATAACTATTATGCAACTTGTACAAGCATTTTGCAAACAGCACACTACATGTATAATAATAAAAAAATAACTCCCAAGTAAAATTTCCAGGTTTTTTTTTTTTCAAAGCAAGACCAGACTTTTAACATAGAAAAGAGCTAATTAAAGAAACAGATGAAGTCAGATGTGCACAGAACTGGGTATAATGTATTTTAAATTTAAAGACACAAAGTGCTTCCCCGACTATGAAACTTGCTTTAGGTAAACTCCATTAATTAAACATTTTTGAAGTTTACATAAACAGAGGCCTACGAAAGGCAAACAAAGAATAACCCAGTTTCTAAATATTGTGATGTGCTCGTCAGTACAAACATTGTAACAGGGCACTTTCTCAAAGACTTGGTTTCAAACCCACAACTTCAATCACAGAATACTGCAAATATTGTCTCTTTTTAAATTAATAGATATGCTTTATTTCACAAGAGGCAGAAATTAGCTATATTGATTAAAAATCTGATCTACAGTTTACATTCTTGAACCACTGTCCCCACACAGACTGCTGTCTCCTGAAAGCAGAGCTAAAATTTATACACAGCTACACAATAAAGTCCTAATTTTCTAACTTTAGAAAGTTTTGGCAGCCTGCAGGTCACTGCAGGCTACTGGTTTACTCTGCCACTGGCTGAAGTTTTATAGTTTTATTCAAGTCACACTTTTAAAAGAATAATGGCTAGTGAAATCATAAATAAGTGGGATTCCACAGCAGGAATGACCTGAAATGGACCTCACTGTACTTCCAATGGCCTGATGTCAACTATTATTAAACTACAGGTTTTATAAAGTCTTCCACTAGACGTCTAGAGTTAAGCCAGAAGTTTTGGCTCTAATACAGGCAGTGATGAAAAACATATGAGTGGTAACAAGTCGCCTTAATATCATTCTTCAGTACTAAGATGGGCTAATCTGAAGCAGCACTTTACTCTGGTATCACCCACTGTGCCAGAAGGATCAAGAAGCTTGGAAGTGGACTTTTTCTTTATATATACTTTTCATTTCAGAGAACTCATTCTAATTTCCTTTTTCCCTATTTTTTTTTGTAATATGAAATAACTGGACATAGGAACCTTAGGTGGATTATCCCAGTGCTTCCGGAAGAACTTCCAAACCTGCAAGGTATGTCCAGTTTGAATAACTATTTTATATAAATAGCACTAAAGGGTTAAGGTTGTCAGTCACTATGTGCAGATTAATAATATCAGATAATTTAGAATTAGAAATGCCACTTTTTAAATGGAACATTTGAAAATTTACTTGCAGCTGAAATACTTCTGTGTTTACTACATGCGAGCTGAAAAACAAATAGAGCTATAGTGAATTATTTAACTGTCAAAGACTTGTCAGAAAAATGTTACAATTGACCATAACACTTTTTCTCAGTTACAATCATCTATCAAAATCTACTCTACAATAACAGCAGCTCTTACAGTAACAATTCAGTCTTAACTTTCTGTAATTTGGTATTCAACTTGTTGGGGTTTTTTATGTACATATCAGCAAAGTAATTAAAAACAACCCAGGAAAGAATGAACTGTATATGAACTACAACCTAAAAATGCTCACAGATAATTCAGTAACAAGAGTCAAGCAGCTCTCCATAAAAAGTAAATACTCTGTAAACACAACTTTGTAAACATCATCTTAATTATTACTGCCCAACTTCAATATTGGACTATTTCTGACAACAGACATTTCTACAGTAATCTTTCTAACAAAAAAAAAACTTCCTCCTGGTTTTCTTCAGCAATTTAAGTAAATCAATAGAGTAGATAAAGAGTTAAACATAAACTCCTTTTATTTCTGGAATGGGACAATGACTAATAGAACCAGAACTATTTTTAAATATAGATTTCAAAACAGTTATGGTCTTGCCTTTCTTTGGACAAAATCTGTGCAGGGAGCAATGATTTGTGTTATTAATGAACACAGGGACTTTTCCTTGCCTCTGCAAATACCACCAGTGGGTCATTTAAACATTTCCTTTTCAGAAACAATGCCATGAGAAATTTGTCTCTGTACACCAGAAAGAGAAGGGATTTCTAAATATAATTTAGAGTCTTTTTAAGACTTAAATCTTTATGTATTAACTCCTTCTGTATCTTAACTGATAAGACAACAAAGACCACATTGCTGGACTGCTTTGCAGCTGCCAAACAATTCAGAGTTATTTGTTGTTGGGTCTCTTTAGGCACTCTTCCCATGCTAACAACAACTTCTGTTCTCACTGAAAGGGATTTTCATCCCATAAGTCATATTTAGAATTTTCACATCACTGAAATATGTGAATGTTCCACATAAAATTAAGGGTTTTAATCAGATTAAATTATACTGTGACATTAGCTGTTTTTAATGATTTATAAATGATAACTAATAGCATAAAAGTGCCTGTATTCCATGTGTTGTTTGGCAATATGAGTTTGGGTATAGATGACCACATTAGTGAGGATAACTGTACCAAACAATGTGTGCAGTGATTTTTGGACAGTCACACATCTCAGGAAAACACCTTAGAGCATCTCTCCATGTCAAGTGCACTCTCCAAATTCAGTCACCTCACCTTGGGGTAGCTCATGTTCTAGGAAGAAGGTGCTACTCAAAAGCTTTTGGTACTGAAGGATAAGAAGGATTGACACAAAAATGGTACAAGGAAGCTTGAATTCACCACACTCTTTGTCAAACTCATTCTCAATGTTCTGGCCCGTTAAAACAAGAATGGACAAAGCCAGGCTTTGTCCAAGTGACAACCAGCTGCTCAGGGGATTATTTAACAAAGCACTTAAGCCTGCCTAACAGCTTGAATATGTCAGGAATGGCTCCCCCATCACTCCTCCTTCCTTCTCTTTCCATTTAATATTCCAGCCCTGTCAACCAATCTGTTCCACCCATTCTTTTGTGCTGGTTCTGGTACTCCAAATGATTCAGTTTCTTCGCCTGTGAAGAATATGATGGGTTTTTTGTTGTTCACATTAGTTTTGTGCTGGTGTAGTGAGTTCTGCCAGCTCAGTGAACACCCTAAGAGGAAGAGCTGGTACCAGAGAGCTGGCAGGGAGCACAGTCAGGCTCAAGCGGCAGCAGGGGACCACTAGCACAGATGTACCTATACCTTCTGAAACAGTCTTTCTTAAAATCTCCATGACAGTATTTTCAGAAAGATCGCTAGGATCGCAGATTTTAGGCTTTCTTTTAATTCTCTTATTCTTGAGGTTTAAGCAGAAAGTTTGTCTAAGTTCTTTGAGAAGAGCTGCAGAGTCAGAGCATTTTTACAGAGTCATATCAGCACCTATTTACTGGGAAACTCAAAACCTCAGGTGGGAAAGAACCATCCCCACACCTTCATAAAACTCAATTCTTTAGGATCCATTCTTTGGAGTTTCTTTGGCCAATGCAAACCTGGAGTCAAGCCTGATGATTATTCCCAACTACAAAGCCAATAATGACTTCCTAAGGGCAAAATGGGAAGATGAAGGAAGGACTCTTTGCTTTAAAAAATAAATTTAAACTTAAAAATAAAAAAATCACAACTCAGTTTTCCGTACATAAAGGGACTTGTTTTCAAGAGATTTAACTCACAGAACCAATATATGTCACCAGTGACATATTTCAAGACTACTTTTCTAGACCTTTGTGAGCAACACATGTTTTTCAGGAATTCAAACTGGCCACTACTCCAATCACAGCCTCAATATTTTAATACTTTGAAATCCTAATTTTTGGCTATGTGAAAGGAAATATGCAATCCATTTGCTGCAGATGAGAGTGTGGGAACAGACTTTTAAGTTGTTTCATAAGAGAACTTCCTAGATCCAAAAGAAAGTTTTAGGAACTTACATGCAAGTTCATATTTTAGATTCAGTAAAACTACACAGCCAATGTCTCTCACAAATTGAAGTCAGCAGGGACTTGGAAAGTCCATGTCCCAAGACATCATCACATGATATCCTACATATGGAAATGGTGTCTTATCACTGGATGAACCACTGGGCATTTTGTCACTTCGGACCTAAATTGCCAGCAAAGAACAGAGAGCCTGAGAGACCATGTGTGACAGCCCAGCCATTAAACCACTCGGCCACAAGGAGAACGTGGAAGTCTGAAAGGCTTCCAACTCCTCATCTCCTAAGTCATGGTATGACTAAAGTAGTTAAGATTTTGGCCTTTTTCTGACGCTGAAATAGAAGACTGAAAAGGCCAAATATTCCAAAGGTGCACAGCCAGAGCTGACAACGATTCTCTCCAAAAAAACAGAGGTTCCACACCTTCTTCCCAGCATTGTTTATATTCAGAGTCTTTCAAGGACAGACATTGCAAGGGATTGCAAGAACAACCACAAAATCCTTTCTAGGAGCGTTGCAAGAGAACATGAATTTGAACACAAAGGAAAATATATGGAAAAAATACACATGAAGGTTCTTTCAAAAGATCGCTACATCAGTAAAAGTACATGCCTTACCTGAATGGGCATGCAGCTGTAATATTATGGGAAACATTAATTTAGCTATATGTTGTTTACCTACAAGATACAAAATACTTTGTGATTCTGATTTCATGCATATATTTGGGGGAAAGAAGTTACCACATTCTTCTTATGTTATTCTGAACAGTGTTAGATACTTCTTTTTAAACTCCCTGAAACAGACACCAATATAGGAGCAGCAAGGTATGCAGGATATTTGCATTTAATGCTGTTGTGAACCCCCTCCACTAAACATCAAAAGGAGGCTGTTTTGTACAGAAAAAAGTGGTTCAAACAAAACCTCATTTGAATAAGCCAAGTCAAACCCCAGTACAAACCAGAGCACTCTTCCTGCAGAGGAAGACCAATGATAAAATGTTTACATAAATTTAGGTGTTTTTCATCTCCAAACAGATCAGCAAGCATTTAATTAGGTGATCAAACAAGAATTGACACCCATTTAATATTTCCTTAAAAAGGCCTATGATAGTCTAAGTAGAAACATTTTTATAAACAGGATGTGCACAACAAAATTTCCTGCAGCCCCTCTTGATTTGTGGAGCACATTTTCAGTTCCAAATGACTTTTGGAATTGGGCTTTGGAGGGGAGCAGTGTTGACCAGAGGGTAGAATCTACATTTTCTCAGAGTTTGTTGCATTCTGTGGCAATTCTTACTATCTCCATTCTCCTCTGCACTTGGTTTTATAGGAGCAAGGGAAAAATACACAAAACACCACACAGAAAAGCCCCAATCTTTGTTTATTGAAAAATTCACACACAAAACTATGAGATTTTAACTTTTTTTCTGGATGTAGTTTAAGTCTCTGATTTCCACTGATATGGATTTCTAACATGCAAGTTGTTCTCAGAGAAAAGAGCCCTCATCAAACAGAAGTCAAGAGAGAATTGGGTTTGTTCAGCCTGGAGAGGAGAAGTTTTGGGTGACTGAATTGTGGCCTTCCAGTGCCTGAAGGATCCAACAAGAAAAATGGAGAGGGGCTTTTTGCAAGAGCCTGGAGTGACAGGACAAGGGGGAATGGCTTGATACTGGCAAGGAATAGGTTTAGACTAAATATTGGGAAGAAATCCTTCCCTGTGAGGGTGGCAGGGGTGGGCCTGGCACAGGTTGCCCAGAGGAGCTGTGGCTGCTCCTGGATCCCTGGAAGTGTCCAAGGCCAGGCTGGATGGGCTTGGAGCAACCTGGGATAGAAAGGTGTCTCTGCCCATGGCAGAGGGTGAAATGAGATGATCTTTAAGGTCCCTTCCAACCCAAAGTGTTCTGGGATTCTACAGTTCTGTGAGATGTGTTTGCATGCAGAGGTGAACTTCTATCATTGGCAATAATAAACACATGACAAACATGGGAAAAGCTTTGTCAGGACTGAAAACTTCAGATTAGACTAGGAAGAGTTGAATTAAAGTGTTTAGGGAGTGGAATAGTGTGTGTTTAGGAAGTATCCCACTGACTGCATTTTATGCACTGCTAATCAAGTACTTTCCAATTTTATAAGCAATGCACATATGCCAATGTATCCCACTAAAAATATTTTTTCATTGAGAACAAATAAAATAAATCCTATTCCAAGTTCTGGTAAAGTTTACTACAGAAATGCTACTTCAAAGCTCGAAGCAAATGATGACATTATTTGTAAACTAAACTAAAATACTTTGATATTATATTAATGAATTTAAGTTAATATATGTAATTTTATAGTATGAATTTAATTAAAAATATTTATATATTCTTCATCCTTCATATACTAATTAAACCTCAATATTCACAACAGATTATTTTTCAGGACCAGATGGTGTGGCAGTGAGTGAAGTAAACAGTTCAATAGCTTAATTTGCTGTTCCCTATTCACTGATTCTGGTATTTTTTTTCTGTTTGTTCACTTTCCAAGATTGGTTATCCTGATTAAGAAGATATGAAAGAATACACACTCCTTCTCTTCCTGGCTTTGTGCTCTGCCAAATCTCTCACTGGTCCCTCATATTTTACACTAAAGAATATGATGCTCCAAGATATGGAAGATGATGACGATGATGACGATGATGACAATTCTCTATTTCCAACCACTGAACCCATTCTACCACTAATTCCTTTTGATCTGTTCCCAACATGCCCCTTTGGATGCCAGTGCTATGTGAGAGTTGTCCACTGCTCTGACCTAGGTAAGAATGAATTTGTGTGTCTATTCTCCATTGGATTCTCCTTTGGAGGATTTGTCTTTTGAAGGATGAATTATTATGCGGGTATATAAATGGGATGCAAAGTATTCCCTCAGTTTAACTTCCACCAAAGGGAGCACTGGGAACAGTTTAGCCAAAGGCAAATGTGCCCCTGTCAGTGCTGCAACTACATTCCAGTCCCTAAAAGTGAAATCATTATTAATTGTGCCAATTTGAATTAGTGCTCACTGAAGTTTTCCTATGATTCAAGGTAATCAAAGGACTGTACTCACACCACTATTATAGTGACAATGACACATGTTCTCATCACAGCCCTGCCATCTTCCTAAACTTCATCCCAGACTCGTGTCTTAGAAACATTATCCATACATAAATAAAATGTGTTGTTATTATTAAAGAATCAAAAACTTTTGTTGACAACAGCAAACTGGTTAATATATCTGGTCTACAGATTTCAAACCACTTTACATGAATTCACACAAAGAAAAATCCCACAATAATAGACTTGATCTTGAAATAACTGCAATCTATTAATTACAAAATAATTGTTAATAAATTGGACAGCATTTAGCATGTCATGCATCAGCATTTCCACTCAAAAGTAAGTTACTGTCCCTGTTGAGTCTTTTCTGCTGATTCAGGACCTCAGATGGCCTGAACTGCAGTGGGTTTGTAACTGTAAAGCAAACTGGGTTGGAGCATTAATGCTACTGGTACTGATTTATGTCAATGCCTTCTGGTACTGGAAATGAAGTGCTGGCAGTGGAGACCCTTCTTTGCCCACACCAAGAACAGGTTTCTCAGCCCTGCCATAACCTGAATTAACCCTCAGCAGACACCCCAGTGCCCTGGGCAGGGCAGAGCAGAGGTACAAAGGAGCGCTGAGCATGAAGCAGAGACCCCTGAATCCACAGCCCTGCTCCTCAACAGGGAACCACTGCCCTGGATTCCTGAGGGATCCTTTCTCCAGGGACTAAACAGTTGCCCTGTAGGACAACCTATGCTCTAAGTATTATTTCACAGATGCAGAGTCCACAATGAGCAGTCCCCATTTAGCTTTCATGGTCAGGGGCAGAAGCAATTCCTCCCAAAACTCTGTACAGATTTGCGGTACATTCTTACATTGTTAGTTTTTCCCACTATCAAAATTCCCTACTGTTTGCTTTATGGCTTTTTTTTTTTTTTGCTTTATTGCTATACATATTTTCTTCCCCACCATATTCATCAACAATCTTATTGTGTTTTGATATTTGTCAGTTAATTTCTTTGGATTTATATGCAGCACATAATGTTTCTGTTTATGTCACACACTTATGTAGGTTTGACATCAATTCCTCGCAACATCCCACCAGATACTCGTATGATTGACCTTCAAAACAACAAAATCAAAGAGGTCAAGGAAAACGATCTCCAAGGACTCACATCACTTTATGTAAGCTTGCAATTTCCCAAGTTTGAAATCTTAGTTAGCAATCAGAAATATTTAATACTTCAAAAACACAAATATAAATGGTATTCCCTTTTCCAATAATATAGATAAAAATAGTCTCATGCCTGCATATTTGAGTGCTCCCACATAGTAAGAAGCAAATACCTTTCAGCTGTAAGAACTACTTTCTACAACATCCAGAAAATGTACCATATACATCTAACCAAAAAGAGTCTCAAGATTTTTCAGTTCTTAGCATGCACAGAAACATTCCCTACATCTGAAAGGCTCCAAGGCAAGTGTTCCTTTTTATCTGCTTAACTGGAAAATAGCAGAAAGAATTTAATCTCAAAGGAGAACTGCAATGATATTTTCTGAGGGGATTTTCAGAAGAACAGAACATACAGCTAACACAGCACTGAAACCAATGCTACAAATCCAACTGACCTGAACAGAAAATAGAGAAACACTGAGTTACTGGAAAAGTCAGGGGCTTTATTCCTCATTTGTTACTATGCTCAATTATGCATGTAGAGATGGGCTTTGAAACAAATATCACTGGCAACTGATAAATCTAGATGTTTACAGTACACAATAATCCCTTTTTATGATGAAAGGAAATGAGAGTCTCAGAGGACTGGGAAGTAGATTAAATCTGCTTTAGAATATTTGTTTCTATTGGATGCCACCCTAGATCCAGTATCCAGATCTAGTTCCACTAACAAACACTGACCATTTTGAAATTTTCTCTCTAAAACCCAAATCTGCTCCATAACTTATAGCAAATTAATTACATTCTAGTCTCCATTAGAAAGACATGAGACACACAATAAACCAACATAAGGACCATTCCTATCACATTAGGAAGAAACTCCTCCCTGGGAGCATGGGCAGACCCTGGCACAGGGTGCCCAGAGAAGCTGTGTCAGCCTTGGATCCCTGGAAGTGTCTGAGGCCAGGTTGGACAGGCCTTGGAGCAGCCTGGGAGGTGGATTGGAAGGTGTCCCTGCCCATGGCAGGGTACTGGATGGTCTTTAAGAAGACAACTTTTAGAAGCCAACCCAAAATCATTCTGTGATCCTACAAAACTAATCCTTTCAGTCATATTTGGCTTCTGAGCAAGATCTGAAAATTTACCAGATATAAGTGTTTATGATTGAGCTTGTTAATTATTATGGCCTAAGACAGGACAGAAAAACACCCAACTATATAAATTGGCAATGAAGCATTTCCTATTCTCTTTTCTTGTGTCTGGGTCCAGAATGGTTTTAGCAGCAAGCAAAGGGTAAATGCACAAACTATGGTTTATATTCTGTGTAAAAGATCTAAGAGTCTCTTATCTCCAGTGACTGAGAAAGCCACTGGAATCCATCAGCTATCACCACATTACAGACCAGAGTCACCACTTAATTATGTGATAGCTGAGGACACTGAGCTGCTTTGCTTTTTCTCCTCGGTTCATTTGTGGCAAGGCTGAACAACATTTTCACTGAGAGCAAAGTTTACTTTGTACAGCTTGGCTCAGTCCTGGAGTCTGCTTAGCAAAGGCACAGATGGCAACTTGGATGAGGAAGGAGCATTTCCTGTTTATTTCCTTGAACTAACCTAATTTTTTTCTGCGAAAAAAAAATTCTTGTTTGCTCTACTTTTTTTTTCTACACAATTCCTGAGAGAAGATGACTCCAAGAAATAAAAAACCAACAGAAATTAACAGTTTAAGTATGGAAATGCAGAGATGTGATTTGACATGCAAAATCATTTCAGATAATGTGTATTTTGTTGACTGCAGTAACTCATGTTACATGTTCTCTGATAACACAGCAGTGAGGAAAAAGCTGCCCCCAAAAGACTCCTATAGGGTACAGAAGAGAGAGACTGAAATTCACAGGGGCTGGAAATGACAAAACAAATTCATGTGTCACAGACAGACAATAACATCTAAGAAACTCAGATTAAAAACTTCACTTTTACTTTGCAGCATTATGTTGAAATAAATGATGAGATTCTGAGTTTTGAGAACTTGTCTGCATTAAGGAACAACAGCAATGAAGTATATAACCCCCATACAATCCCACAAAATAACTGAATACAAACATATTGTTTTTCCAATTCTCATGATCTACTGGCATTTTTTCAGCTCTACCTTCTGGTTAATACTCCAACTTTCAGGTTCTTCTTTGTCACAATCAACTGTAATGTCCAAAGCATCTACAAAATACTGAAGTTTTGTAGGATGGAAAAATAAAATATTTTAAATCCTTAATTGCTGAATTACATATCAAATCCATGACTTCAAATTCATAGTCATAACAGTCCTTGATAAAGAACACTTTTGCTCTTTCCATCTCTCATAGGCACTGGCCTTGAACAACAATAAAATACACAAGATCCATCCCAAAGCCTTTCAACCAACAAAGAGGCTACGACGACTGTATTTGTCCCATAACCAACTGACAGAGATTCCAACAAATCTACCCAGAACTCTGGCAGAGCTCAGAATTCATGCTAATAAGGTTAAGAAAATCCCCAAGGATGTATTTAAAGGAATGAAGTCTCTACATGTTTTAGGTAAGTCTAATTAAGTAGAACAGAAAATGTCTTTACCAAAAATGGAACATATTATACATCATTTCCATTCAAACATTTCCCCAAGGTGCAGTTTCCTCTTAAAGAGATATCCATGCTCTGGGAATACCCTCCACAATTTAGTTTCTATGTGAAGCTGCTACAAAGGTCAAGTTTTGGATAACCCTGCAAGCCAAGTAACACAGCCTTAATCCACTGAGAACTGTGACACCCCTCCAAACAGACAAAGCTAAACATTAACAACTGCTTGGAATATCAGAAAGCATAAACAAATTTAAATCAGCTCTTTATAACTTAGTCTAAGCTATATAAAATTCCTATGCTATAAATGTTTTTTTTTTTTCCCCCTTGGGCAGAAATGAGTGCAAATCCTCTTAACAATGATGGAATAGAGCCAGGGGCTTTCGAAGGGGTAAATATCTACCACATACGAATTGCAGAGGCAAAATTAACTTCAATTCCTAAAGGTAGGCATTCTTTCCCTTTTCTAGTCTACTTATATGCTCCTTAATAAAATGCTTTAACATCTGAAGGATTATTAAATTCATAAATTGTTTTGTATTCCCATTACTACCTAACCACCTCCTACTTTTTCTTTTTGAATTTAGTATCCAGTTCCCCATCCCAGAAGAGTTCATACACAAACAGCACAAACACAGTGCACACAGGCTCCTTCTCCCTGTCAGCACAAACACAGTACACACAGGCTCCTTCTCCCACCTTCTCCCTGTCAGCACATCCACTTCTCTCACAGAACGTCCACACACCTGTCTCAGGAGGAACAGTACAAAGAAATTAATAATTTAATGTCACTTCACGTCTTTCACATCACATCAGCCTCTCAAAAATCCTCACAGAGAAAAGATAAACTCCCCAATATTTGATCAGGGTCATAAGGGATGCAGAATTCCCACTTCCTTTATGAATTTAAAATATAACTCCAAAACTTCTAAATTTAATTTTTAATATTTCTAGTTACATTGCACCTCAAATACAATGTTCAATGTAGTTTTGCTAAGTAAAACTTCAAATTAATATTTAATTAAATTCACCATAATATACTGTAAAATCAAATACGTATTCATATAAAAAACCCAACTTTGTAATTTGGAAGTAAAAATAAATTAAAACACTAACTTGACAAATCACTGACCTCCACAAATATAGCATATAAGCTCAGTACAACATTCCACCTGCTTTTTCTGCAGGTCAGTGTGGTATCAAACTATATTCTCACGATTTTCAACCGCTCAAAACTACCAGCTAAGTGAAAAAGGAAATAAACAAAGCAAAACACTGTGCTCTATGCTTTAACTCACAGGGAAACTAAATGTTGTCCCCTAAATTTATTTCTGATCATTCAGATAAAGAACGTGGTTTTTATTAATCTCCTCCTGTATGCATCTATATATATATATATATATGTGTACACAAAGATATACAGAAGGATCCCTGTAGAAGAGAACAATAAAAAAATCCCCAACAATTATCAAAATCAACTCACCCCAATTGTTCAGATAACTTTAAAATCAGAAAGCCTGTCTGCCTATAGTAATACTTCCTAACACAAAAAAACCCCAAAACAATCTAGTATCAGCTCATGTGACTTTGCACCAAAAAAAGCCCAACATAAAATGATTCCAATTTTGTCTTTGTTATAGAGCAATCTCCTATAAAGACACACAGCATGAGGTCCAAAATGTGGTGTCAGATACATAAACAGGATTTCATGGTGAATTCATTCACCACAAATGCAAACTGAGTTTGTAGATGCTTCTCTCTGCGAATGCTACAACAGTGCAAAGGTTTAAAAAAGTGTTGTTTATAAAAGGTACTAAAAATGTGCATTGGACAGGTGGGTGTCCTTCTTCCCTCTGGATATTGTCACTCAGGCACCTGGAACTGCGAGCTTGGGTGCAAACTGGAACAAAGCCCAGACAAACAAAGTTTATTCCAAGTGGAATAAAGGCAGGTCGGGAAGCAGCCGCATCCCTTCAAGATCCAAGGGCAACGGGAGCAGCGCTCTCCCAGCCCCAGAGAGCAGCGGGAATTGCTCGGTGTCAGGTGCCATCTAGACAGAGGCTGGGAAAAACTGAGCCCAGCATCAGCAAACAAATTCAAGCTGGGATGAGCTTTCCTTGCCCTCACCAAGAGGATGTTGTGGAAAGATTCGCCACCTCCTGGTCCATTCACCAGGCAGCCTGGATTTGGAATATTTGGAAACACAAGAGAAAATATTCTGGCGTGGGAAAGAGCTATCAAATACCACAATTTTTCTTAGAGTACTCCAAAAGCTTTCCTCACAGTCACATCCTAGCAGCTGTGACACAACTGCTATGTTATGTATAAAAAAATTACAAATCTTCAAAAAACTGGTTCCACAGGCTTTGACTACAGACTCTGAGATAAATGTACAGAACACAGGATTAACATCTCTGACAAAGTAACCATGAGAGTTGTTATAAAGGAAGCCAGAAATATTACCAAATTTTGGAGCTCTTATATATCCTAATTAGCATATGACCTTCCACAGCTTAATTTTAAGCTATTATTTCAAATCAAATTATATTAGTGATTTTCTTCATTAACATACTTCTATGTAATACCAATTTCTTTGATGCAAGATTCTTCACCCAATTCTAAATACAAAGGAAAGAAGCTTTTTGGAACATAATAAATGTTTCAACAAAAAAAATAAGTTGACTTTGTTTTTCACACTGTGTATTTTTTTCATCAGATTTGCCCTCCAGTCTTCTGGAGCTTCACTTAGATGACAATAAGATCACAGGAATTGAACTTGAGGATTTTAACCGTTATAAAGACCTTCAAAGGTAAAATTCCCAGGGTGAATCCCTTTATTTGTTAAAATGTCATGCCCAGGAAGATCTCTTATTTCTTATTATTTCTCTTCTATCTTGTTATCTATAAACAAGATACTGTTTCTTGTTAAAGAAAAGAGACTAAAAATTATAGGTGTTTTAGTAAGTATTGCTCTAAATAAGCCCAAACTTTAAAACCCAAGCACACCCCCAAACTCTCACATTAGTCTTGTTATTACATGTTTTCCAACAGCCTGCAACAGAAAAGTAGGAAAAAAACAAAATATAACCATCCTAAGTTATTCTAATTCTTATAAATTTATTCTCATAAATACAGCAGCTGGTAAAGGAAACAACTTGCTAAGTGCTTTCAAATGCAATGAGGTTTAAATAAAAATGTGTGTTTCTGAGGAATGTATCACTGAGATAGGAGAGAAAGAAGTTCTGTCTGTAAAGCTCAATTAAGAACTCTGAAAATATGGCTGAGCAGCACTGAATTTGGTAACAGAAATTACTGAACTGCCTTTAGATACCGAATTCAGTTTCTGAAGAAATCAGGAAAGAATGGAGCAAAAGGGGATGGCAGAAACAGCCATTCCACATGACCGATGGCTCCAGCTTCTGAATCACCTTCTGAGCAAAGCAGGCCAAAGATTTATAGCAAAAAATATAAGGGAAGTCTGAAAGTAGCAAAGAAGATAGTCCTGCTTAGTAAAAAACCTTTATATTTTAAAAATAAGCTATACATTAAAAACACCTTTCTAGACAAGACTTGCTATTTGGCTATTTCTTAGAACTTATGACACTTTGCAGCTGTACTACTTGGTAAAATGATTTATTTCATAAGCAGCTCAATATTTATAATTTAAACACTTGCCACTATAATCACAAGAACTGCATGCAAAACTGAACAATTGCTTACATCAGATAACTGATAACAGTTGTGAGCCAATCTTCTTTAAGTGGAGTTCAAATTATTTAGGTCAATGGTGATTTTTTCCTATCAAAGTTAAGATTTCATCATCTTCCCCCAATTCTTTTCTCCCTCTGTGTTTACTCCTGTGTATTTCAATCTTAAAAATAAAAAGCAAGCTGTCTAATGCTGTTGTGAATCTCAATTAATCTTTAATTAAATGTTCCTTGTGCTATTTCTAGGCTAGGCCTCGGCAATAATAAAATCAAAGAAGTGGAAAATGGAAGTTTTGCCAACATCCCAAGTATACGTGAAATCCACCTGGAAAAAAACAAGTTGAAGAAGGTTCCTCCTGGATTACCTGAACTAAAATATCTGCAGGTTATACACTAAATTTATCAGACAGCTCTGGGAGTTCTGAGTTATTTCACTTTCCCACTGTCACACTGATCAGCATAAGCACATTTGCACAAGCAAAAAGCATAATTAACTGACACATATATTTTGCCATGACTTTCCTACTAGGAGAGCCTGAAATCACAAAAACTTATTAAAGAAAGAAACAAAATCAAACTGCAGGAACACTTCCTAGGAAAGGAAAGGAAGGACAAAACACTACGCTCAAAAAGTTTTCTAGATAATGAGACTATTATACCGCATCATTATAATTCTTACTACAAGAGAATATAAAATTGCATTTTAGAAACAAATTCCCTAAGAATAGAGTGCAATTATTCTAAAAATACACTGACAAAATGCCTATGACTTCTCTTTGTGGGAGAGACTGGGGCAGGAGGAAGACTTTTTTAAAGACTGAACACAAATTTTAAGCTCTTGTTACTCTCAAGGTCTGCATGGAACTGATGTTGTAGCAAACCTCAGTCACCTACATCCTAAGAAATATTTTTTTCCATTTTCATTTCAACTCCTGTATTTTTCTGTTCCTATTGCTGCAGGTTGTCTTCCTTCATTCCAACCATATTGCCAAACTGGGAGTGAACGATTTCTGTCCAACAGGACGAAGGAAGAAAAAAGCCCTGTACAGCGGCATCAGCCTCTTCAACAACCCTGTCAAGTACTGGGAGGTTCAGCCTTCAACTTTCCGGTGCATTTTAGCCAGGAACAGTGTTCAGCTTGGGAATTTCCTCAAGTGAGACCCAAGTTGGTTGTTTCAAAAAGCAACTTGTCCAAATCAGTCTTACAATACTTGAAATTTGCAGAAAAATGCTGATTTTATGCTATTTAACCGTTTACAAAGTATTTGCTATTTCAGAGGTAATTAATTAGAAACAATATGTTAAGTAGGATCCATTGTATTATTTGACAATGTCCAACCTACATTTGAATAATTTAAACAAGTCCTTATATCTTACAAAAGGACTCTTAGAAGTGAAACTGGAAACTGCATTTGATGTTTCCTATTATAGATGTTAAATGTCTTTCTTAAACCACATATCTTGGACATAATTCCTTCTTTCAAATAAATCCTAAAAATCACGTGGAAGTGACTTTTTCCAGAGTTAGGCAAAAGAGACCTAGCTTCTCTTCCAGAAAATGTTGTAAGAAAAGTTGCAAAACCAAAAATAACCAGACTTCAAGGGCAATTTCTTGTGCCATTTTTGATAATGAACAAAGATGCAATAAAAAGCTATGATATTGTCAGGTAGTTGTCTCTAAGCTAGAATATGTTCTTGCAATCTTTTAAGCGAGATAAAGGCAAGTTTCACATCAAGAACAGATTAAAAGTCTTTAAAAGTTGTTGGTAATTTTTCCTTGCAACTTTAAGAGGAAAATGCCCTTCAGTGTTTTGCTATTGATAGAATTGGATGCAGTCGGAACATTAAAAGTAGGATTCAAGATTTATCATATGCTTCAAGCTTAATAGGAATGACTATTAAACTCCTTTTAGGCCAGCACAAACATTTTTCTTTTATCTATAAAAACTGTAATCGTCTTTCTCACTTTATTTTTTTCTTCTTTATATTTTGACAACACACGGGTTAAGGATCCCTCCTTAATGGAAGTACCTTACAATTGCCGAAAACAAGCAGCTGGAACTCACCTGCCCTGCCCTTCCTGTGCAGAGCAGCACACAGAACTCTCAATGCTGACAGTACTGTATAAAATGGATATTTTAGATATCTATTTAGTGTATATTTGCTATTCGGATTCAAAATAAATTAAATAAACGTACAGAATACCTGCATGTGTGTACTTTATTACATGGTAGCTCATGTCAAAATGTTCCGAGATTATAACCCGGGGAGGCTTTTACTGAAAAGCAATATTTGCAAATAGAAATTCTGTATTCTGTAACACACTTTAAAGCAGAATAAAAACAAAAGACTAAACAGAACACAAAATCTGAAATCTGTTGATGACCAAGCATCTTTCTATTCCTGGCTTCTGAAGATGTTTCTAAGGAGTGCATTTCCTAGCAAATACCAACATTCCCTTAAGGACACACTCCCCTACCTTACAGTACCATAAACAACTCATAACCCCACACAATGTTAGTAAATATGATAGATAACAGAAAAATTGTTACATTTCCATGAATCACTGTTTATATGTATTCATAAACGCTCCTGCTATACTAGTTACATCATTTCAGCAATGTCAACATCAGCAGAAAAGCTGATTCCAATTCTGTAGCTTAACTAAAAGCACAAACTCACAATGTTGTGTAGTACATTATTCTACACTAATTCACTGGTAAGGTTTGAAAGGAAACAAAATAGAGAATGCAAACAATTCCTTATCTAATTAAGGTTAATGCAATGGACAAAAGGAACTGCATCCTCGTGCTCTCTAAACTTATGAATTCTTTACAGGTACCTGTGTAAGAGTCTCACCAAATTTTAAGTCTGCTACTGAAGTCCCACTATAATGGGAAAGCTTTGTAAAATTATAGTAAAGTCCTAAGAAGTAGAAGACCATATAGTCTTGATCTTATCCTTCCAGACCCTTAAAAACTCTCTTCCCTTCTCACTTTTTCCTCTGACTGTGCACCCAGCCTGAGAAACTCTTTTCCCAGTCAGCACCCATACATAGAACATTCACAGAACAAACTGCAGCACTACTTTTGAAGAAACTCCCTCTACCCTCACTCTTAATAAATAATCTCCAAACGATTTTATCAACTGCTTAGGTTTGCACCATCCTCCAGGCAAATTCAGCCAGCTTGGAAGTTTAAAAAAACTTAATCTGTAACTTAAACTACACTGACAATTTTGCATTACAGCAGGGAAGTATCAAATGGTTCATTTTAACTATTTCCTGTATATTTTATTTTTAGAGAAAAGCAGTAATTTCCTAGATCACCTCAAACTGAGAGGATGGCTGTCACTTAAGAGAAAAATGAACCTCCACTATTTTCAGATATCATTCTTCAGCTGGCATTTGTAGTAATAGCAATTAATGATTTTGACACCTTGCATCTTTGGCATACTTTAATATAGACCCAGGTGGATGTGTCAGTGGCACACAAACATGATATAAAATGCACCTTACACAGTTTCAGCAAAGGTTTCTGGACATGGCCATTAATGCAATTAGCAGAATAGTAATTAACTGATGATAACACACTGGTATTCTGTGATCTTCCCACAGAATAATTTCAGTATTGGCAGATGGGAAGAAAATCTGTCAAGAATTCAACTCAACTCCATCTTTACATTCTCTACAAATGTTACAGGAAAAGGAAGGAGGAAGAAAGAGAAATGTGATATAAATGCTTCGCAGGGTCTCCTCATTACTTATTCCTTGTACAAGTATCTACATTTGTCTAATAAAAAATTAGTATTTACTCCATCTAAGATTTTCAAACTTTAAAGGGCTTCTCTCTTCTGAAGATCTGTCAGGTCCCTACACAACAGTTAACAAATTTCTCCAGAGGGTGGCAGCCTGTAGCTACAAACAGAAGGAAAAGTCATGCTGAAGAATAAATGACAAAGACTCTTAGAACACAGGAAGAGCCCAGTAAAGGTCACAAACACTGATTAAGCAGAGGGGCCTGTTTGAGTACTAAAGTGCCACTTGAGTGCTGCTAAACCCTGAGTTCTATGTCATGCTCTACACCATTAAATTACCAAGGGATGAAATAGCCTCATTTTTCCAGGTCTTCTCCCCTTCTCATTTCCCAATATCAACCTACTTCATGCAGTATTTCAAACACAGCAATACATAGATTATTGCAGCATTATTATACAAAGAGCACTAGATGATTTCTCCTGCTGCTAGATTGAGTTAAAGAAGGTGAAGAAGTGTTTATTTTATTTCCTTTTTCCAGTATTAATTGTGTCTTCTTACTCTGCCAAGGATGAAACCTGCAGGAATCCAGTGTGTCAGTTAAGTTGGCTAGAAGTGTCAGGAAGAAAAGGAGAGATGGACAAATAAAGAGCACAGCTCTTTGGATGTCACTGCCTGATCTTAAGAAAAAAGAGTTGCAAATTCTTAACAGCAAAATGCAGTTTGGGCTGGATGAGCAGACTGAGTTGGACTGAAAATGGGCTGGAAGGCAGCAAGCAGAGAGGCCATGAAGTGAATTCCAGGTGGGTCAGGAACTGCCAGTGTACCCCAGGGGTCAGAGCTGGCTCCAGCTCTGTTCTCATCTTTATTGGCTGGCTGAACGACAGAGCAGATCACCCTTACAGGTTCACTGCTGACTGCTATGTGACTCTCTGGGGTTATGCTGCTGGACAAATGGCCAACAGGAGCTCGTGCAGATCAGCTAAGGGAAGCCCAAAATCTTGCACCTAATGAGGGATAAGCCCATGCACTGGTGGCTGAGGGCTGACCTGGAAAGCCGCTTTGCAGGAAAGGATCTGTGGGTCCTGCTGGACAACCCGAGCATGAGGCAATGTGCCCTTGTGGAAAGATGGCTCAGAGTATCCTGGGCTGCTTTGAAGGGATAAGGACAACTCTTCATTCCCAGTCTTGCTGTCTCTAAGTTATTCCAAGAGCTAAGAAGCTCCAGAAGCCAGGGTTCCTATGGATTTGAGTTGTGCAAGGCTCAGGTCCTTCCAGCTGCTCTCCACCTCACACCACAGCACCTCTGTGCTGCTGAAGGCCAAAGTCAGCTGTGTCAAGGGGTCACTCTCACCTCTCCTGCCTTCCAGTTGCTCCTAAGCAGGATTTTGGAACTGTCCCTTCCCTAGCTGGAAGACCTCAGCCCAGCTGCTATTTTTCACAAACTAATAAACCAGCACATAAATATTTCTCTCTATCCTGTGTCAAAGTTGGTTATAATTGGTAATAAGGATTAAAAGATGCTGAGTGAAATAAGTGAAAAAGATAAAGGGTTATTTTCTTAAAAAAATAAAGAAGGGAAAGTTTGGCTATTTTAAACTGAATGGAAATTTCCAAAATGTTTTATGAGTACCCCATTAGGAGTTCCTGCACCTGCATTTCCCAAAAGTGACTGAAATGACTCAGACGAGAGCAGCTGAAAAATATAAACTAAGATGTGCAAATTTTTAACCCTTCATATCTGTTTGCTAAAGCAGCAAAATATCTCAGCTATCTCAATCAGGTTGTGCATAGAAAATGATATTAATTCACTGTTACGCAATTTTAGAATGTCATTTCAATGTCATTTCAAAAAGCATTTATCCATGTCCTAAAAAGCAACTGCTGTTATCTCATGAAGATACTTATTCCATATTCATTCAATTGCCAGTTAAAATATTGCACTATTTATCCAGAAAAACTATGGTACACCGCAACAGACATTATTTTCATTTTATTTTGATCAGAATTTGACAGCAGCATGATAATAAAAGCAGTATTAAACTAAAAATAATGAAATTGTGTTCTGAAGGCTATTTTTTTTTTCTTATTCTCTATGTTTATATTGCTTTTTGGGCTTGTGTTGGGACTTTTTCCCTCCTTTCTGGGGAGACTAGAGATTTGAGAACAAAGCTGCTAATAGGAAACATATGGAAAAGTTCTGGAGTAAAATCTGACTCGAATTCCAAATGCCACGTATCACATACCATGGTCTAAATTATCTGCTAAGATAAATGCAGGATTTACCCTCCATACTCAATGAATCACTGAGATGAAAGATAAGGTTATTTATGAAATAAACGAAAACAAAGATTTGCATGATATTTAAGCGACTTCCAAAACTAATCAATATTTTGAAGCAAGTTGTGATGTTTCTCAAGGCCTATGTGACCCAGTAAAAGACTGGCTCAATGGAACACACTGCTGACAGACAGCCTTGCTACAGTTTTTTGTATAAAATATATACATTCCTAGCCAAGTGAGCAGTCAGGCTCTGGATTTTAACCACTGTGCTGCTGTGGCAGCAGTGGGAACCCCACACAGCCAGCTTTTCCTATGCACGAACACTTTCCTGTCTCAAATCCCTGTCCAGAGGAAATGTGATGACGATGAGATTTCTGGCACAGCAGCACTGGGGACTCAGTTTTGATGAGAATCTCACACATTTCCACAGGCAGCCAAGCCTTGCCCCAACTCCCTGTGCAGCAGCAGGGAATTTAACAAGCCTGGATGCACCAGAGTAATCACAAGTCCAGAGAGCCCCTCGAGAAGTGATTCACACACCCGGTTATTCCACGTGTGCTACCCATCACCTGCACAAAGGTTTCTATCGGGATCAGGAAGCCACACTGAAATGAACTATTTCTCTTCACAATTACATTTGCAGGAATTATTACAGAGTTACAGTCTCTGCTAAGAACGGAAAAAAATCTCGAGCTGAGAGGCTGCCAGAGGATGGAAGATTTCCAGAGGGACAGAGAGGGAGCAAGTCACAGACACAAGAATGGACTTGAGCTTAATTCTTCAGCTGGTCTTATTTACAAAAGCTGTTTAGACATAAAGACCAATGGAAATATTTTTCTGTCAGTAACACTCCTCAGAGAACACCTTAACTCATTTGTGGAAAAGAAAACTGGCCTGCTATTCTAAAATATACTATTTTACCAAAATGTATATCTTATTTAGGTCACCGAGAACATCCAGTCACCATTATTATCCTTCTGTCAGCCCTACCTTCTTTTATCTTCTTCCTATTCTCCAGGGCAAAACAAGGAACAGAGTGAATGATGGAGTCACAAGTCAGTAAAAAGGGCCTAATTTTTAGCATGAAGAAACCTCTTTTGTGTTAACCTTGTGAGAAGATATCCAGATTCAGGAAGTGACAATAATCTAGTACTCTGCAAGAATTATAAAAGCAACTGTCTATATGCGTTTCTCCAGCAGCAATACTTCAGGAAAACTGACTTGGCTTCTTGGAATGAATATTTTTCATTTATATTTTAAGCTAATACATTCAATTTCTATTCAGATGTTACCCTCCTGTAAATTAATATTACTGGTATCTTATATTTCCTCAGATACTAGATTTTACAAGGAAAAAGACGTTTGATTTAACTCCATTTAAAAAATGACTAACATAGCAAAAGAAAGCTGGATAACTTTTGGAAATACAGCAAAGCTAAACGTCAGTACAAAAGTGGAATATTTTACCCCTATATTCCCTGACTGCATACTGCCGTACTTTAATATGAACCAGCAGAACCATTGTGTAATAGGATAAATTTTGATTAAAGAACCAGGGTACTTTTAGAAGCTATTTTCCATGCAAACACCTACCTAACCTGGGCAGTTAATGATCTCTGACAAACTATGCTCCTGTACAGTGGCCTGTAGATTTGAGATATTTGATATGAGATAAAATCTGTTGTGATGCCATACAGAAGAAAACACTTCAAACCTCACACCAACCATTATTACATGCAAGCCCCAAAAGCACTTTCTTAACCAACATGCCAAGAGATCCTTTGTTTTTCCTGTCAAGACCTCAGTTAACAATTAGCATTTAGAAACCCACAATCTTTTATTTCAGAAAAATAGAAACTAAGTCTGATCGAAACTCAGTCTTCAATACCCTTCTTAATGCTTCCCTCTAATAGATGGAAGAAAAAAAGTAGTTACTCTTGATAAAAGCCCTGTATCATTATTTATGATAAAGCCACAAACAAAGAAAGTATTTTAAAAATATAAAATGTTTCTTACCATAAACTAACTACAACTCTTGGTGCTGTTTTCCTTGAGCGCGTTCCATTGGAGCACACGTGTAAGGCAATATTTCATTACTCCTGTTTTAGGAATGCTTTGCCTTAGCAACACTGTGTTTTATGGATTCATACTGCTTCTAGTGCCTTGTGTTCAGGACAGAAAGGGTAATGTATGCTTCCCACTTGAACAGTTCCCTCCCAAAATCAGAATGCACAGGAACCTGAGAAGAGGAGAAAATTTGAGCATGGAAAACACATCTGTCAGATGTGCAACTGCTTTGCAAAGTCACTGTTGTGTCTTTCTAAAAAGCACCTTTCCACTCAAACATTTCACCCAGTATGCTAAACCTGGTGTCTAGTTCAGTCATTAGCAGCTCAAAACAACTACCCCAGCCCCCATTCTAGGGCTGCTTTCACAACACACAGCTTATTTAGAAGTTTCAGCATTAAGCCAAGTGTTTGGCAAAGATGTGAAGGGAGATCTGGACAGCTGTCTTGCATTAAAACTGACATTTTTAAAGGGAGCTACTACTCAGTTCTGTTAAAATTTAATCACTCAAAGCACTGATTTCATGCCACCCCCTTACTAAGATCCGGTTAATATTTTTTTAGAACAAAAATGTAATGGATGTTTATATTTTGGCTACAAACAGCTTTAGCCATTTACTTCACTCTTCAAAAAGCAGTAGGACAAGGCAAGAGAAGGTGTCAGAAGCAGGACTGAACTAATCTGGTAAACTTGCCATATTACCAAGGAAGGTCTGTAATGCCCAGGTCAACTTTTCCTCCTTAATGAAATGGAAGGAGAAGCTGTGGCTGCCCCATCCCTGGCAGCATCCAAAGCCAGGTTGGACAAGGCTTGAAGCAACCTGGGATAGTGGAAGTTGTCCCTGCCCATGGCAAGGGGTGGAACTGGATGAGCTTTCACCATTCTGTGATTCTCTGTGCGTGGTTTAAGTGTGAGCCTTGCTCAAGTCTTCAGAGTAAGGCCTCTGAAGAATCCCAGAAGAGGAAATAGAAGAAACAACTTCCAGCCAGAGTGATTGAATCAAGATCCCCTCCCCCAGCTCTGCCAAGGAGGAGCTGACTCACAAATTATTCAAACCACAGAGAAATCTTTTTGATTTGATTAACTCCCATAAATCAGAAGACACATTTATTTTATATGTCAGGCATGAGCATCGCTTACAAAAGAGTATTAATATTAAAGAAAGTCCAAACAAAATGGAGAGTAACCAAAGGAAACAAAGGGTAGGGAGATGATATCTTTCCTTATAAAACAATATGCCAGGGTACAGAATGATGTGTAATAACACCTGGTGTTTCTGTGAAAGCTTCCAAGTCACAGATTATGGCTGCATAAGAACTGCACTGCAGGCCATAAAAGCAATATAGTGCCAGCATTACGAGGTTTGCGCTAAAAAGAAAGGATTTATTCTCTTTAAGAAAGAGGGGATAATAAAAATCTAGAATCATTTTAAGGCTGATGTTCAGTTACCAGACTACAGGAGAGAGCTGAGTGGCTGCCTGGCAAAATCCTCTGCAGTACCAGGCTGGATAGTTGTATTTGTTTGAGTATTTCTAGAGCAATAGGTATTTAGAAAAGAAATGCATTCTGTAGTGATTGTAAAAGCAAAGACCATCACTCTTAAACACACTCAAAAGAGTAAAGAGGAAGTACTTTCCATCACGTACAAGGGAAAAATTTCTGCTAATGCAAAACATTTTCCTATTCACGATCATTCCGGAATGCTTTGGCAAATAACTTCAGCAATTACTCTTTATACTTGCCTGGAAATGCCTAAAAAAGCTTATAAATATGATTTCAGATTGGATACAAACCTGAGAACATTCTGAAGTTTCAAGTACATTTTCTAATTATTTAATCAAAATTGTAGGAAGTCCTTAGCTATAAATGAATGAAACAAGCTAATGAATAATATAAATTATTATGGTGGAACTCACACAATCTCTTTTAGACATGTACCAGTTTAGGGCACTAAAGTCAGCAGTTCTGCTCAAAATAAATGAGAAGTGCCTGCTTTGGAATAGCAGCTTCATTACCTTCCTCCCTTCCAAAACACTGTGTTCTTTTATTTAGTGTTTATTAATGAGTGCAAGACACCTGTCATATACTATGATAATTTATATTATTTTATATAAGACACAAATCAGGCAAACTAAAGACTGTTAAAGTTTGAGGTCAAACTTCTAATGCTGCCTCAAGAAAATGAATTTACCTGCACCAGTAAACAGTGGTTGCAAAACCAACTATTCCCAGAACTCCACATGGGAGGAAAACACAGCCCAAAGTCATCTGTCTTGGAACAACCAAAGCAGGCTGTATAAAAATAAAGAGTATAACACAAAGCACATTTATTAAACAAGCTATTCAATTACTAAAAACACAAGTGTCAGCTGACAACAGTGACTCTCCTCAGCAGAGATTTATAATTTCATACAATTCAGGGTATTTTAGAGGAAACAGACACTATTTGGTACAGAAAATATTGCTTACATCAATTTCCAACTTATTTTATTGTTCCAGTGTAAATTGTTTATGACTGCTTGTTGCTGTGTTAGAAACAGTACATGATAAGGACTATTTAGATGCCTCTACTGTAAAATCCATCTATTTAAAAAAAAATTGTAACCTCTCCCTTATACAGGGAGAGGTATTAATATGGGATTAAATCCTTCTAAGATTTCTAACACAGCAATATATTCAGAAAAATGTTATGTCCCTCCTCTTCTGTCAGTCCTTCAGAGTCAATTACCCACTACCATAAATTAATATTGTCATATCACATACTGTAAGTTTGAATATGCCAGGAAATTTGATACTTTGCTTTTGCAGTACCAATTGTTCCTCACACATGTTCATGCACAAGTGTAACCAATCATCTAATGAGATCAGAGCTTCCTAATATATTGCTTCTAGATCCATAGATGCTTCAAGTGAATTCAGCACTAAAAATTCAGTGTATTACTGTTCATTAGTAGAAGTTACTCAATTTCCTACCAGATTATATTGATTCCCATGCTACAAGGTCAATAAGCTCAACTGTTTTCGGTTGCTCAACATGTTCTTCCCAGGAGTTCTTAGTGAAACAAAGCAAAACATTGAAAACAGGCTGCACAAGATGTGGATTGCCAGAGTTTTGATCTCATAATACCACCTACTAAATGGGAAATAAATAGGGACCACACAACAAGGTTCAGGTCAGAGGCAAGAGAAAGCCCCACACAGGGCACAGCTCTGTCCTCCTTTAGTTTTTTTAAACAGATTAGGCCTTGTCTTAGCTCTGTTGATATGATTTGGTAGCCCCTTTTCCATAACCTTTAAAAACACATGTTCCCACGGGGACACACTCCTGGAATAGCATTCCATTCCATGAAGAGCAGAACACCACCAAAGTCTGTGAGGGCTCAGGCTGGAGGCTCTGCACGAACAAGACTCTGAGCATCTCGATTTGCTGAGCTCTACACTGCAGTCAGTGAATTTTCAGAGGTGTTCTTGCACAGGATAAATAAATCCAGCAACCACTACAGGCCCAATATTCAGTCAGCTCTGCCAAAGGCAAGCACAGGTAAGAAGCACCTTTGCAGATCATAGATGGAATTCACAGAGGCTGCAGGTGGCTGATGACAGCAGTGCTGGGCTGCCAGTTAAGACCTGAAAATTTGGATGCCAAGAGCCTCTGTGCCTACAGTGTGACTTTGAAGTGCAGCCCAGCCTGAATGACATTGCTTACAGCTGTTTCCTACCCACAGGCTCTACAGAGAACCAAATTACAACCTTCACAGTTCCTTGTTATATTTGACTGTGTACTCCCTTTTTTACTGTGCCCTCACTCACAGGAACATCACCAATTCTTATCTAAAACACAGATTTCCTTCAAAGTTGTCAACTGAGGATTTTAAAATTTTGAGCTTGAGCCCTTTTTTCAGATATCTGATAGCAGGGCCAGACCTTCACAATTTTATTAAGATTACACTTCCAACACAAACCTCAGGTCTAACTTCCCCACCTTGGCTTCTTTGAGTTCCCTAAATCCTCTATAAATAAAATGTGCTTCCTTTTTTTTACCCTTTCTATTTCATATAAACCATTATAAATTTTGGAGGAAAAGGAAAAAGAAACTCACTGAGAAAAACCCACCAAACACAAAGAAACCCAAGAATTTCTTACAGTAAAACAGTGAATATAAGGCCAAGTAACTTAAAGTAATTTATACCTTCTTATTTTTAGGGCCAGTCCCATTCACCTCAAGGCCACTGGTGATCTTTCCTACTTTATCCCAAGAACAGTTTGACCAAAACTTGGGCATTTTAAATGTGTTCAGCAGACCATACTGAACTAAATAAACCCCCCTAAATTCATAAAATAATAGAACAGCCCTTTTTTTGTCTTCAGGCCAGAAACAAAATTGAAAAACTGACAAGTCTTGTAAGTTGACTGCAGTTAATGGACATGGTAAAATTCCAAAGATTTTAATTGATAAAAAGGATCCATCCTAGTTTAGCTGAAGAAAAGCTTGAAGCCAACTCAGACTTTTAGCTTGACATACATCCCACTTTTGCATCACAACTGCATAAATAAAATGATGAAAAAATCAACATTAAAAATAATTCCTTCTAAAGCATTCTTAAAACTGAAAAACAAAATATGCTGAAAATTCAATAAATTTTCACAGCCTTTGAAACAAGAAGCCTTACATGAAGGATGCTAAATTTAATCCCCTCATAATCTGCCTTGTAGGGAAATTCCTGCCACACCACAAATAAACATGAAGATCAAACCACACAATTTGACCAAGATCACAAAGTGTAGTCTTGTTTGCCTCCAAAACAGTTCTTGCAACAAAACAGGAATTGAGTCTTAATATATTCCATGGCTGGAGCCACATCAACCTCTGCAGCTCAATATGCTTCAAATCAAGAGCTTTACCACAATTTTTCAAAGGATAGACTCTTCTGTCCTGCCACCATGGATTTTTAAATTCACCATGAGATTTTAGATCTCCTAAGAGGTTAAGAGACTTTGGGACACAATCAGTAGTAGAAAGCAATAGAAAAATATCAGGTATGAAATTGAAACTCTAATTTTTATCTTTGGATAAAATAGTTTTATGTATATTTTACTTACAACTGTTACTAGAACAAAGCTTCCAAAAATATATCCCATGTTCTTTGTCTTGTGCTTAAAAAAATACCTAAATTTTGTAGCAGCTAGTAACATTTTACTAACTGGTCATAACAAACTTGGTGGGGCTTTTTTCATCTCTTACTATGTATGTATTCTATTAATTATTAATAAAAAAATTAATTACTGGTTTTGATTTAGTGGTACAATGTAGCTATTCAGCTATTTGTGGTACCGTTATTCAAGGATTATATAGTTTTAATCTCTCTCTTTCAAACTCTCCCTTGTATTGTGCATTCCCTACATAAATACATGACTGCTTTAGTTTATTTCCAGTATTGTCAACTCCACCAGTACCACTTTGGTCATGACTTCTGGTGCTTTTCTTTATACTCCAAATGTTAGAATTACATATGGTTTATCTTCTTAAACATATTCTTGTCCTCAATATTAGAGGAGAAACCTGGAAAGGTTGAGCGAATTATCAGCTTCATGAAGTTCAAAGACAAAAAAAGAAAACTTACTACTGCATTTAAAAAAAAACAAACCATAATACTTCATTATAAGGCACTTTTAAAGAAGAATTTTTAAGAACCAGATTCTTCCTTGTGAACAGGTTTTGAAATAAAGTAATTCTTTTACCAAGTCAAAACTGTAATTAAATACTTTGGATAAATCATACACTTAAACCACTTCACGAAAAAAATTGCCCATTTTCTCCATTTTTTACATATATCACAGGTATTTAAGTATCATACAGCACCGATGGCAGATAACTGTACCATCTTTAATTCTTCTTAAAACTTAAAATAAATATCTTTCTTGAGTAAAATGGTTTATGCTTCATGCCATACTAACCCTTCCCACAAGATTTATGCTCTATCTATACAACTTCTCAAAAAAGATGTTGAAAAGTTATTTGTGAATGCTGAACTTTAACACCACCACACTGACAGTACTGTATAGAACAAAATCTTTGCAGGAAGGACACAGGACATAGACACTTTGGGGGGAAAATAAGGAAGAGGTTTATAAGAGCATATGTATATAGCACATGCTTCCCCTTGATTTTGGTAAGGTTAATTTTTTTACTGTTTCTTAACTTCATCCTCAGGGGACAAACCCTTTGCAGAACTGAATCACTGCAGCTGAACCCGCACTATGAACTAATAACCTCTGTAATCATTTTCAAAGTCATAGTCTCTTTTTTTTAATGGGAGTTGGTATTGAAAGAATCCTGCCAATTATACTGGAGTGATTTGAACAAAAGAAGAAATTGCTTCACAGCCTTATGACACAGCATCTACAGCAAGTGATGATGTGGCACAAAGCAGTTTTTTTAATTTTACTGGCAAATCAGAAGAGGGGCCAAGGCTGTTATTTTGTGTTGCCTTCCCACAAGGCTCCTTACCACAAAATATGGCTTAGACAGACCTTTTGTTCCTCCAGCTGGGGTACGCTCTCTCAGATTATTTCACCAGCACAAGAACTTGCTGCCCTCTACAACCTGAACTTCTCAGACTTCCAAAGAGTAAGTTTTCTTGGTAAGCAGGAATAAAATTAACTGATTGTGTTATTTTTCAGTGAAGAGTGATTCATGCATGTTATATAATATTTAGCTTTCAGCAAGTAAACTGCTTACAAATACAGTTACTGAGCTCTGACTTCATTACAGATGGTAGAGAATCAAGCTTTTAAGATTTTCTTTTGTTTTTCAGCTTTGTAATCATGTGTTTTATCATATTGTGTGCATCTGACCTGCATTTCCTGTTATCAAGTTTCACCTGATGTGAGTGTTTTAAAGCTAGTTAAATTATTAAATATTTCATGAAGAGGTGTCAGTGTCTCAGTGCTTTGAGACACAACATGCAAGCCTGGCAGGACAGTTACTGTTCTACAAGAAAGATACTCAGCTACAGCTACAATCAAAGCAGACAAAATGTCTCCCCAAAACCAGCTCCTCCATCTCTCTGTAAAACCTGGGGGAGACTTGGGTACAAACTACTTATGATTTCATCTGACATGATGGGAGCTCTCTTCACACTGTCCACATGGCAAGCAGATTGATCCCATAAAGGCCTTATTGCTCACAGTGACAAGACTTGCCTGAGTTGTCCCTCCTGGTTTCTAAGGACAATTGTGGCACTGAGAACAAAAGCTATTAGTTGGAAGTTTTGTGACATGGAGTAGAAGCGCTGAGAGAAAAGAACCAGAGGGTGAAGCTCAAGTTTTGGACTGCAACTGAAGAGGGAGGAATCAAAAGGAAACAAAGAACACAAAACAGGCAAGAGGGACAGACTGGGAGCTGATCCACAAAACTAGAAGGCAGTCGCAGGAGTTAGAAGCAGATTTTAGATACCAACAGAACTGATTAGAAGATATTCTGATATACACTGCCTGAAATATGAAACCCAGTGAATTCCTCCTGAAGCACAGAATTGCCTCTCAACCCAGCACAGTGCATTTATACAGCACTGCAGTGCAAGGCTGCTCTGTGTCTCTGCTAATTGCTTAATTAACTCAGACATCCCACAATGCTGCAGGGATATGGAGTCTCTGGCTTTGCTAAGGACCTACCTGGACTGGAGTTCCTGACTCCAATCAAACCTGATTTTAAGGTTCTCATCAGTTATGAAACTCAACTACATTCAAAAGCGAATTTAGATATGCGGGTTAGGCAATGCTACATGGTGACACCCAGCCACTGGCACTCACAGGCTTTGTGTCACACAGCACACTTACAAGGATGCAACAAATTCCAAGAGCTTGTTACAACTTTAATCCTTAGAATTCTCTCTTTCCTGTTCAGTTCATAGAATACATCAGGCATTAGGTAATCACCACTAGGAATCATCAGAAATTACCACTTGTTTCCTTGTTTCATCTCTTTTTTACTGATAGTGTTCAGTAAACAAATATTGACAAGGAGTCAATATTTGGGTATGAAACATGCATGAAAAAAAATAGAATAACTGCTTTTCTCTCTCTGCTTCAGGGTTCTTTTACTATACTGAGCAAAGTCTCTGAATTTTTTCCATGACTTCTGTGGTTTGACTTGCAATGTAACATTTTGACTCATTTCTGCTTAAATTGAACAGCTTGACATGATTCACAACTCTCATTCTGCCAAATAACAAGGCTCTGCTGACTGCATAAAGTATTCTAAAATGTTAGACTGGCTTTGAGCATCAGAAATTTGACCTGCAACATGACTTGCCTTTCACACCATCAGGATTTCACCTCAGAAGGGTATTTGGAAGGTAAACTAGTTCACATCTATAAAGAATACCATGTGCCATGCACGATGGTTTAACTGTACTGGCTTTAAATAAATGATGGGAACAGAAAAATGACATTATATCATCATTAACACAGTACTAAGTTGGTCACATTTTGTGGAAAATAGAAAAACAACACAAAATTCCACAGAACATACAGTTTGCAAAGCCACATAAATTTCTATTTTACAAAATATACAGTATTTCCAAGTAATTTATTTCAACGTTCTCTTATGGCACTCTTCAGTACCAGGCACAGCATAGGTGGAAAGCTGTTCCTTGTCTTAAGTCAGACCAGAAATCCTCTGTTTACTTCAAGAACAGTAAATTTGTTGATGTTGTTTAGGTGGAAGGTACAGATCAAAACTTAGTTTTCCTAGTAATGTCACAGACAGTGTTTCCCAAAAAAGACATTATTCTATTAATTTCATTATATATTGCTGCTTCTTAGAACTTTTGTGCTATTTACTTTATAACTATTTAAAACAATATTTCTTCTCATCAACAGGTCACAACATATACATTTAAAATATGGCGATTCTGAGCCACCTATCGATCCTCCACCTCCTCTGGGCTGCTTTGGTCTTTTGTCAGTATGAAGACTATGATTTTGAGGATGAATATGGTGGGGAGCCAGATCATCAACTTCCATATTATTTTAACCCAAACACCCAAGTTGAAGTTCCTCATTTTCCTTTCCCAGTTGAGTGTGCCAAGGAATGCTTTTGTCCACCAGCTTTTCCTTTATCCATGTACTGTGATCACCGGAAACTCAAGACAATACCAAACATCCCCAGTCACGTCCAACAACTTTATCTGCAAAACAACCACATTGAAGCTGTGCCTGCAGGACCATTCACTAATGTTACCTTCATAAGGGAAATTAACCTCAGCTACAACAATATTAAATTCCATATGATTGACCATGGTGTTTTTGCCAAACTTTCAAACCTAGTGCAACTTCATTTACAACATAATGAATTAGAAGAATTTCCATTCCCTTTGCCCAGCTCTCTAGAGAGACTCCTCCTTGGTTTCAATAAAATTTCCCAGTTACCTAGAAATGCACTGGAAGGACTGCCTAACATGACCATGCTTGACTTTTGCAATAACTTGCTTGATGACTCGGTATTCAAAGAAAAACCCTTTTCAAACATGAAAAATTTAATGCAGCTCAACTTATGCAACAACAAATTACAGACAATGCCTCCTGACCTGCCGCCATCACTTCAGCATCTTTCTCTTGAAAATAACTCCATTTCTCATATTCCAGAAAACTATTTCAACAGACTTCCCCAAATCACTGCTCTAAGAATGTCCCACAATAACCTGCAGAACATTCCACACAACACCTTTAATCTACCCAACCTTCTAGAACTTAATCTTGGACATAACAAATTGAAACAAGTGTTCTACATTCCAAGAAGTCTGCAGCATTTGTACATTGAAGGCAATGAAATTGAAAGTAGGTTGATGGTTAAACTTTGTAAAAAGCAATAATCTTAGTGGATTTTGGCATTGGTTGTGGGAGGAGTGTGGGGAGAATATTGTCCTTTATTCTTTGGAATGCAATATATACACATCCTCACAGTCATTTGAGACCAATTTGAAAGTAAAGAGGATTTAATTTTTGAAGCTTTCCTCTAATTCACAGTTCTATGTTAAAGTTGGTACCAGTTTTTCATGTAACAGCTAAAATATTTTTGAAAATTGCTTCTGATTTGGCAACTGATAGAAACATACAGAGAAAAGGAATTATGAAAATATTTAATTCACATAAAACAGTAATTACAAATTCCTTACCCCACAACCTTATATTTTGCAAGCCCCCAAACTGGTACCATTGCCATTTACAAAACTGATTTAAAACATAGAGAAGGGCTATATTACTGTGCACCACAAAAACACTTTCCATTTTAAATTTCAAAATGCAGGTTTCACTTTTGCACTAGGTCTGAAACATAACCACTTTCTGCATCTTAATTAATATTTTTCACTCTCTTACAGACATCAACGTTACTGTGATGTGTCCAACTCTGGACCCACTGAACATCAAGCAGTTGACCTACATACGGGTGGACCAGAACAAGCTCACGAGCCCCATCAGCACCTACGCCTTCTTCTGCTTCCCTCTCATCAGAACTATTTATTATGGAGAGCAAAATGTCACTGTCAACAGGCCAACTCAGCTCAGAACACCCGTGTTCCGGCGGTTTCTAACACCAGAGGAATTCCAGGAAGCAGAAGACAATCATGAAACGCTCAATCAAGAAACAGAAGAAGATCATCAAGCAGAAGACAACTATTTTCATCCTTATTATCACTGAAGTAATCATGGTTAATGAGTATATATGGAAACTTTTCATTAGTCTGGGCTATTCATCTCTATCCTATAACAGCTGGGCAGTTTGGGATATTCAAGATGCATCTATAAAGTGGAGATAGGAGTTTAAAATAGGTAAATGTCCTATTATTGGTGTAGTAAAAAACAATACTAGGAACAAAGATCACTCACCTGAGCATTAGACAAAAGTCTGACATATTACCTGGGTTGATGATGGGCTCACCTTTGGGTGAGCAGCCAAAGTAAAAAAAAACTGTTTTAAAGTGATCCAGTTGCAAAATGACTAAAATACAAAATCAGTGTCATAATTCAATAGGAACACGTGATTAAGGCCAAAAATCCATCCAGCTCTACATCCTGTTGCTGACAGCAGAAGCAAAGAGATGCACTAGAGAAAAGGACATGAGACTGAGAGTACAAAATACCTCCACAAGGTCCCTCCACATCTCCCAGAAATAGATATTTCTTCTTCCAATTTCAAACTGGACAAGGACATCACAAATATGGAGCTTCAAATGTTCCCCATATTAAGTTTCAAGTGTCCTGACAAGCTATATTATAATATTCACTTCTTTGGCTGTCCTTTAAATATCAGTCTTTCAAAGGAGATTTCAGTTCATTACTAATACAGGCAACAAACAATCTTTCACCAGGCTGCTGGAATCTAGGGAAAAGCATGTGCATTGCACAACTAAACCATAAGCATTTATATTTTCCCTGTGCTTCAGCCCATGTTATTTTAGAAGACACATAGAAATGTAATGTAATCTTTGCATATAGAATTATTCATCAAGTAGAACAGGAACAAAGAAAAGTATTGCAGATTTTTTTTAACTGTTAATTTAGACTATCCCTCTGCACAGCTAATACCACTTAGCTGCATTCTGCTTCAAAGCAGAATCAATGTTGCTTTAAGTAACCTGAAGAGAACTTTGAGCTATGCAAATGTTTGTTATATCTTATTCCTAGAAACACATCCAGATAACTACAGTGGAAGATAACACTATAGAGCACTTTATTGCCTTTTTTTATCACTTCTTTATTTTTCAGCACTTTTTCCCTGATAGAGCTTTACTAGCTGTGAAGAAAAAAATCCCTTTCAACAGCAAAATGAAATGCTTGCAAGTGATAGATCCATATATCATACTACCAACTTTGCATCATTTTAGGTAGTCTTTTTAGTTTTCCAATGCTCAAAGTACAATGTAATCAGATTTCTATTAGAATTTGAGAAGATAGGCAGGCTTCATTTTTTCTCTCAGAATTTCATTTATTTTTTTAGGCCCATCATCATATTTATGGTTTTTGATGTATCAACAGTAATATTAAGAAAATGAAAATACTTAATGACTGCTTTTTAAGAGAGAGAGATTTATTGTAAAGCTATGAATATAAACTTTAAGAATATATATAGTCTTTAGGGACAACTAGTTGTAAGAATTTGTGGGTACAAAATTTATTCTATTGTTATTGATTTGTGGATCTTCAGCCAACTAACTAGAGAAATCTGCTCCTCTCTCCTTTCCCTTTTTCTTATCTGCATTCTGAACAGATCCAGTATTCACAGCAACCTATTTTATGGCCACCCACAAATTCACAGTGCTGATTTTTTTTAAAAAAAAATTATTAACATTTATCACCCTCAAACACTTCTGTGTTTCTGAATAAGGAACACATGCATGTATTCATTCCTTCATTTAAGTACTCAATATCCTTTATCTACAATTTATACAGGAATTTAGATTTAATTTTACTGCTTTATTAATATATACATGTAGAATATTAACCTTTGGGAACATTTTAACTATTTCAGATTTTAAGTGAACGGTGCACAAAATGCAAATCTAAAATAAGAGGCTTTTTTGTAAGGCTTGCTGAGCTTTAAAAATAAAAGAACACTATCCTGCTATAGTATAAATATTACATCTTTTATCACAAACTTTCTGCTTTTTAAAGACATTTATCAAACAAAGCTTAGCTTTTGTTTTAAAGTAGAAGTCAAAATACTGATGTTATATGCATTTCTCAAAGTCAAACTGGAAATTATTGAAAACTTCAGAGATGCCTTATTACACCTGATTCATTCAGGTGAAACACAAAATTTCTATTACAAGCAGAACTATTATAATTTACTTTTCTTTCAAATAATGTTATCATATGATCTGTAGCACATAGGACACTTATTCCAGAAAGGCTTTTACAGTGAACAGGGAACTAAAGACTTCGGGTAGCCTTAGAGAAATTACAATTAATAATAAAGTACTGGATTAATGGATATCTAGCTGAGTGCAATTTGCTCTGGTAACACAGGGGATGCCTACTATAGAAGTCATGATGTTTTTGCCTTGCAAATATCTTGGACTTCTCTAAGGGAATCATGAAGGATGTGGAAAAGGGAGATCCTGATCCAAACAGCCTACAAAAATTCTTCAAGATTTTTAAAGAAATTAAGTTGCCACAGATTAAAAAGCAATATCACAAATGAAAGTCAAATAAAATATGAGAAACATCCTAGGAATAAATGGTCAGTTCTTACTGTGGAGGCGATCCCACTGGTGGGAACTTTGCAAAGGGCCTGTGCTGGAATTTATTTCATTTAAAATGCTAGCAAGAGATAAATAAACCAGGCTGAGAAGTGAGATGCCAACACTGACTGCTCAGTGTTGCTGAAGAATGGCTATGGATGCTAAATATGAGCAAAAGCAGGGAGCACAGTGCCTGTGGAAAAGCAGGCTGCATAACCTTCTCAGTCTCACCTGAGAAAGTGGTCTGGGAAACAATAAAGAGGAATTAAAACAATCCTCAGAGACAGAAAACAGCCTTGCAGGTGCTGTTTGTCAGTTTCGTGTTTTCTTGCAAGAGAAGGTCGAGGGGTGGTGAACCCCACTGACCAATGACGGTGATGTGTTAGTTCACTAACCAATAACAGTTTTACCTTTCTGTACTTTCACGTATCAGTCTATAAAAGAGAGTTTGTGTCCTTCTTCTTGCTGTTCCCAAATGAGTGACAAATGGCTACAAAAGTCCTCAGGATGCTAAAACACCAATGGAGCTCATCACTATTAAATGAGAAGCAACATCCATTGAAATGATGATCTTAATTCCAATTAAAACTAATGAAGGAAGACCTCACCAACATCACTCAGGAACAAGACTCAGGAGTGCTTGGGTAGCAATAGGTGTTCAGTGAAACCACTGGCTCAGCACCCAGTAGTCATAAAAAGGAAATTCAAATGCAGAGAGTAACTAGAGACAAATGGAAAGGAGATACCAAGACACTGCCGTAAATCTGTGGCTCACCCAGATATTAAATGCAGCATTGATTTCCAAAGCCTCAGGTAGCTGGTGTCATTACATAGGGCATGACTGGAAAAGGATTAGAGCGAGGTCACCAAAGGAAAGGAATAGGTGCTGTAACAACAACATGGAATGCACTGGGGCTCAGCAGCTCGGCAAAGAAATGGCTGAGGGGGGATACAGAGCACAAAATTATGAGTTGCATTTACAGCAGGAGTCTGGGGATGGGCTGCTTCAGTACAAGGGAAGGAGCCATCAAATGATGCTCATGTGTCTCATGTACCTGTACACAAGTGGATGCAGCAGCAATTTTAGACATGGTGTTGAGGAAAGACAGGAACAGTAATTGTGTTCCTTGGAAGATATCCACTAAAGCTTGCTAAACGACATACAGTAGGTACAAAAGTGCTGAGCTGAAAACAGGTGGAGAATGAAAGAACTTTTGAAGACAGGATAGAGACAGGGATCATACATGATTGTCCTATTCTCAGTCTTCCCAAAGCATCTGTTTATGGGCACTGCTGGACACAGGATATTGTACACTAACCTTTATTATTAATTCCACATCCAATTCCATGTTCTCACTATCCTGAACCATGGTAACGTGCTGGTGCTGCTCCTCACTACTACTGCCTTGGTACAGTGTAAAACACACTTGCTTTGTGTTTGCTCTGGTACTTCCTTTCAAATTACATTGTTTTTAAAGGAGGAAATAGGTCCATAAACTAAGTAAACATGCTGTTTATTTCATCAGTAACAGCAAAACCTAACATTCAAATACCTTAATGAGTTTTTTTACAGAGCAGTCAGAAACCCCACAACAAAGTTTGATCTGGGTTTTAACTCTGCATCTCCATGAGCAATTCAGGTAAAGTAACAGCCACAAGAAGTTATTATAAAAATCAAAAGAAAGAGAAATAACAGTAGTTTAATCCAACTGTCTATATTTCTTCCTTTAGCCCAAAAAAGTGGGAATATATTTTGCTCTTTCCTGATAAATATTTTTTACACTTTGCTTCAGTACTGTGATAATGAAAGTTATCTGGATGAGGACAGAAGCTTCTTTATGGAAAACAGATGTTTTACAGTTCACATTTTCTGACTTAGTTTAACATATTCACATTCCACTTTTACAATACAAATCCATTTCCTTCTTTGTTGCCCAACTTGATCATTGTGAACTATAAGCATAGGCATTTCCTACCTGAAAAGCAGGAAAGGGGAACATACTGGATTTCTAACCAAAAAAATACACATTGAAGAGATTTCACAAGATTATGAACTATTCAGCTATAAGCCAATTTGTGTATACACTATTGCAACTTGTGGAATTCCACAAATATAAACATTTTTAATATTTTAAACTATTTTGCCCATAATGTATATTTCTGACAACCTAATTAATTTAAAGGGAAAATAAATAAAAACAATCTTGTAATTCATTGCATTAATTCATCACATTAATTCATCATCTACAGAGGGAAAAAAACCACCTTATTCTAAAAGTACAACGTAAGGAAAACAGATAAATGTGAAGATGAGCCATGAACACAGAGAGTAAAGCAGATGCTATGAACAACACAAGGAACAGATGCCTGGAACACTGAAGTAAAATATGGATAAGGCCAATGATTCTTGGAGCCCTGATTCAAATGTCCCTGTGGACATAGTAACAGCTCTCAACAAATGATGGTATTGTCATAAGGAAGTAATGCCAATTCTGGAAGGAATTCTAAGAAATTGTAATAAATTGCAGTAGGTTGGCTTTTTTTTCGGGATATAACTGATGTCATATAGCAAAGTTCAAGAGAACATGTGTTTGACAGAGGGGTCTGGGTAAATAGCACTGTTACTCTGGTTATCATTTGTATTTTTTAACCATAGTTTAATATCATACATGGTTTTTGCAAAGTGCTTTATTCATTTATAACACTAACTGATAAAAGGAGTTTCTCTTTTACAGAAATGCAAGAAAGAAAGGTAATGTCTTCAGCCTTAAAAAAATTCTGATTATAAATCAGAAACATATGGAAAGTTGTTCATACAATCACTAGGTCATTTTTCAGCTGTCTCCATTTTGCAGCTGGTGGCCCTAACAGTGACCTAAATTAATTTAATTCACTGAGTCTTGGAAATAGTTGCAACTTTTAATAAAAACCTGGAGGTGTTTATGCATAACCATTTCAGGTACTTCTTTTGCAATCCTGAATCTTGAAGAATATTCTATGTTTTCTCTGTAGGACATGATGACATTTATTTTCCATTTAATACTGCCTCTGAACCCTCCTCCATCCTCAAGGACGCTGAGATGGAATTGACTTTGCTTCACAAAACGACTCTTCTACAGCACCACCTTCAGTTCTCAAACCAGGACATTGTTCCCTCCTCCCTCTGGGATACTTTTAGTTCCCAGAATAAATGCAACCCCATCATTATTACTGGCATAAAACTGCCTTAAAACTATTTTTACACCCTCTATCGGGTCCTCAACAAAAAGCAGAAGGGAATGAAGGAGTCTGAGAAGTTTCATATCACACATTTATGCAGCAGCAAAGAGATAAAAATAGTTTTAGAAAGTAGAATTAGTCCCACACAAACATCAAGCAGAAAAGGACTATTTTAGAAAATAAAACTTGTGTAGAGAGCCACTCCAAAAAGTTATCTCTTCTAGGTTACAAAAGGAGAAAAGAATAGAACCATTGAGTTCAGTTCTAACATCACTTAATGCTTTTGCCCCCTTTAACAGTAAATCTCTCACTGCTTGCAGATTATTATTGTGTACATGTTATCAGGCTGGTGCAAGAACTGTCTTCTCCTCTACAAAACCTTTTCTATTATAATGACCCCAATCCAGAACAGCTGGTCAACACTGTGAGATGTTTAAATCACATTCCATACAAGAGTTATGCCAAAGAACCTCCAACATGTTACCTTCCACATGAAGCAGAAATATCACACACAAAAGAAAATCCAGCATTTTTCCAGGTCTATAAATGCCCAGGAATCTTTAAAAGTTTTCCTAATTTGTCCTCATCTCATTCTGTCCCACACAGATGTCTGGCCAAGAGAAGACACTGACTTTGAGCATTCTATGTAAGTGATTCCCAGCACCCACCACAGGCTCAGGTCATCAGAGCAATAATCCATAGTACTCTTTCCTAGAACACTTACAAACAGTAAAACTCAGAAACTACAGAAGTTGCCAATATCATCCTTTAAAGACTAGGACAGAAGATGAAAGCCAAGTTCTTTAAGCAACTGCAAAATACACTTTCTCTGTCTAAATATAAAACAAACCTCAGTGATATTAAAAAGAATCTCAGAGTTGGTTTATTTCATAAGGAATATCCTGATAGCAACTTGATGGGACTTTCCTTAGTGCTGCCTCATAGCCTCATTCACCCCTGCACCCCAGAGGTAAGGCCCTATGGTTTTTCCTCCCCATTTTTCTTTTTCCAGTGCTCTGCCTCCCTTTGTACAACCTTTAGATGGGCAGTGCCAGCCCCTGTCCACATGCAATTCCTTACAGGCACCTTGGAGAAGTCATTTCTCTGTCTTGCACAGAGGAAGGTCCACCCCCCTCTGTACTGACATACAAACTAAATACTAGATTCTTTCCCAGATGCTGAAGATTTAGTCAGTAACATGTACAGTTTGGCTAGTTACCCTCATTTCTGTCTTTCTCTCCTATGTTTTTCCTACCTCTGCCATCCACACCCACCCACCTTCTCACTTTTTCTCTCCTAAAAGCTCTTTATTCTTCATTGTCTAACATGACAAAAGACAACCCTGGGCAACAAATTTTACATCTACTCTGTACTCTACCACCCTTTTCACCTAAAGTTAAGATTTTCTGACAGCAGAATCCAGAGACCGGAATCCAATCCTATTAATCTGGCTTGGGTTCGATCCACTACAAGAAAAGAAGTCTTGTGGTTCATTTACAGCTTCAGCTACACTTTAGATCCTTACAAAATTAAAGGGAAATTACTACTGTTCAAATTTAAGCCATGATTCCATGTCAACAAAATTAGGAAAAATAACCTTTTAAAATGCCTAACAGTCCAGCTAAAGTATTTGGTGGGGAAATCAGTCAGTGCAAATTAAATACCAAGGGGAAATAAAAAACCACATCATGAACACATTATCAAGGCCTTCTTAGAAAACTGGAGCTCAATGAGTTAACAGCACAGCAGGCTTAGGTTTCCAGAAAAGAAACCACCTTCCAAGTACATTGATCCTTGTAACCAGAGTCCAAGCAACAGACACTTATACATCCAATTTCCAAGCACTAACAGTGCCTAGAAAACACTCCCTGCTTGCCAGGGTATTTCCTGTGAGCTCCCCTACTGCCAATGCATATGAACCACACATTTCATCTCATGTGATTTGGATATTGTGGTTGTTCCTAGTCACTCTGAGCAGAAATAAAGCAGTTGAAGGAAGCAATACTCCCCTTCCTTGTTTGCAGCCACTCATACCACCCCCATCCTTGCGCAGATCTGAGCATCTGGTACATGTTCAGATAAAAACTGGTTTTATCTGACATTATTTGC